ATAGGAGGAGGTGGAGGGCTATGATCCCCTACGTTCTGAAGGGAAACGGCATATAAATGAAGAAAGAAGAGAAGTAAGGAGCACTAAGTAAAGATTGAATTTAATTATTATTAATGACCTACAAGTTTAGACTCTAATCATTACTCCACGACGAGGCGCAAAACGTGTAATAGATTACTTACTAAACTTAATCATTGCAAAAAAATTCTAACAATAACATCATCATCATCAACAACAGCAATAATAATAATAATAATAATAATAATAATAGTAACAGTCTTGATAAGAACACCTACACACTAAAAAGAACTTTATCCATGTAACGCTAGTGATGTTATGGGAGTTAGAAAAACAAATCATGACATTTAGCCATAACAACACATCACTACCTGCCTTAGGCCTTCCCGCAGACTTGGTAGGTAGTGTAGCCATAGCAGAAATCGAAATATAATAATAATAATAATAATAATAATAATTGTAAGTTGCCGGACCTTACTCAGTAGGTCATGTGCACCAGAGGCTGACGCGCTGTGCCTCTCTGTTCATAAGCGGGATTAATGGAGGAGAATCATGGCCGGGTGTCAATGTTATGGCTTTTTTTTAAAGTTTGAAATAATAGAGAGGAGGCAAGGAAATTTGGAAATCATATCTAAAAGACATCTTCAATCGCAGACCGTCTGAGCGGAGTTCAAGGTTATGCGTTGTTTTTATTTAAAACCTGTCACTATATGATGCATATGCCTGGTATATGCATATCAGTATGGATGTCATGATTATACTGGGCTTCAATATTTGTACGCCAGCGTCACTTTGTTGGCGTACGGCTCTCTCGATCAATACTAATGCGAATACTATGCCCTTATGCTACATCAGGGATAGTTCTCGTCGCTTCTGATCTTAATTGATTGGAGGTGAAAATATGTACAGGTTTTGTCTTGCTGTATTTAGATGAGTTATCGTAAATATCTCATTCAGTGCCACAGATATTCATGTCAGTTGTCTGACCATAACCAGTTGGGCATAATCCCAAAAGATTGATGCATTGTGCAGGTCTTTTTATGAGCAGTATAATCCAATATTCTGATGTGCTCCTCTCAATAATAATAATAATAATAATCAAAATACAAGTACCTTGAAATAGAAATCTCGAAAATGTGGCATATGGTAACATCAACAATTCCTGTTGTAGTTGGAGCCCTAGGACTGGTTGGAAAAGATTGCAGTTGACTAATTGAAGGGATTCCTGGAAGTCCATGCCTCAAGGAGATACAAAAAATTTTCTGACAGGTACAGCCCACACTTTACGAAGGGCTTTATCTATGTAATATTTATTTATTTTATTTTTTTTATCAGTGTAAAATGTCATGATGCCATTTCTAACCTTAGGTCCTTGGGCGGGACCCGGAAAGTAATGTGTAAACGCCAGAAATCAAAGAAAATAATAATAATAATAATAAACATTTTCTTTTATTAATTTAAAGAAATAGATTTGTACTCATATCCTCTAGAGCGGTAGTTCTCAACCGGGGTCCACGTGACCTTACTGAGATCCATTAATAGGAGTTCACAATAATATTTGAGCGGTCCATAGAGCAATTACACATCGGAATGGTTGTTACAACTGAGAAATGAAATTTCTACAGTGATCTACGCCATATTGAAATACTAGAAATAGAAAAAAAAATACATCTCTAAAACTAGCAGAAAACGAGATCAAGCAATGTAAGTTAGCGTCCCTTTTATTCTACCGGATGTTTTGATCGTAAAAGTTGAATTAAAAACTGAGAAGGATATAGAAAGAAAGGATTATATAAACATTATAATTTATTATATAAATTAATTTAATATAATAATATTAATAAAATATTAATATAAATTAATATAGTAATGAACTCAACATTGTGAAAAGGGGTGATCAACTATCATTGACATTGATCGAGCTGAATATAAAAAAGTTGCAGAGCAGCATCAACCACAGGTATCTCATTAAATAAATCTGCACTTTTTTAAAATTTATTAATTACTCACATATTTTAAAATGGCTATTTATGAGTTATTTTACTAGTGTACATAAATGTTCCATAGAATTTTGTTGTTAAATACAAGTTTATTTTTATTACATTAGTTTTACTTTAAAATAAAGCATATACATTTAATATTTCTATAAAACAATTCCTAAACTTATGTATTAGTAAAAAATAAAATAAGCTTTTTTTTTCATCGAATGGCTATGGGGGTCCACAAAAAAATAACAGTAAAAGTGTTCCACGATTAAAAAAAAAAAAAAAACGGTTGACAAACATTGTTCTAGAGGATGACACCTTACCGATTGGGTCACGGAGATCAATCAGTACCTCAAATTCAAATTTTGTCATTTCATTCCTCTATATTGATCTCATTCTTTACTTTATTTTATTCTAATGCCTCGGCCAACTTAACCTTCAGCCTTCTCTGAGAGTCAAACAGAAAGAGTGGTCTAAACCTCAATGAAACAAAATATCGGCGAAAAAGCAAAAAAAAAAAAAAAAAATTTAATAATACCGGCCGGCTCTACTCATTCCCAACAGCTATACAGTCTCTCATTCTCTGTGGACTGTACATCTGAAGAATGATAATGGTAATATCAGTCGTTTCCTTATAAGGAAACATTTGGTATTCATTGAACGAACAGTCAGTTATCTTTCTACTAAAACAATTTTCCAAGAAAATAGTTAACTCCACTGTTATCGCTCTTTCCAACATTGACAGGGCTTCCTTCTTAACCTTTTGCTTGAAATACTGTCGAATGTCAACATCCTGATTATGTCATTATTTTATCTTCGAGTTACATGTAATAACTATTTTAGTTGTTGCTACTGTTGAAAGTCCTCAAGTAAGGTGGTTCCTGTTATTTGGTACAGTTCTTTGTGATTCTATAGCGCAAAACAGATTTGCCGAAACGTTGTTCTAACGATCAAAGTGGCACCAAGAATAAGTTCAGCGATTCAACTACTGATGAAAATGTATTAAAGATTTGATCATAAGAAAATACGACGGATCATCTTTTGAGTTTGATGTGTATATAGGGAGAACGCGATAAGTGATAAAATAAATTATCACTTTCCTAATTACTGTCGAATTGATGCTGAAATTAGGCCTTTGTAATAAGTACACTTTATCGTTATTTTACGGTATTTTCAAACTAAACAACCGACACATAACTATTTACAAAATGCAATGTCGTGTATTATATTAAATAAGACTCCAACCTACACTGATATCCTTCCGTTAATTTGAGTCTTACCATGAAAATGTTCGCCTGTACTTCAGTAGCGTCTGTCCTCCCAACCCACCTGACATTCATATGAATCACATTAGTTTCCACTTCCGGCTTTAGGAGAAGCCGATGAAAAGCACACTGGAATGTCCGGAAAGTACACGAAATTGTTTACTTACGTTTGTAATTCAATAAACTTTACACAGCCGCCGTTAAAATGTTTTGCGGACACGAAACGATCCGTTTTAGCTGATAATTCACTTTTCTAAATGAAGTTAGGATTTCTTCTTGATTAATAATTTATGGAGAAATAATATTCTTTGCTCCAAATTAATTTGCTTGCTAATTCTGATGTCTCCTTTGTTTTCCTTCTCTATAAAAGAACTCATTACTTAACTCTGAGAATGTTCATACTTCTAAGTGTACCTTCTTAATATATTATCGAAAAAATTATCAGTTGCTGACCAATCATGTAAATGAGTTTTGTTTGCTTCTTATAAATACAGAGGTGTATAATCAGATCTAGTAAATAGTGCCTGTCAAATGCGTCAACAGATCTCAGCATTTTTCTTGGAATTATAACGTAGAACATATTAGCCCACAAATGCCTTACTAATTATAGAATTTACATTATAATTGTTTGCAAATAAATAAATGAAACTCCTCCGTAATCAGCAAAATTTCAACTACATCTGAGATTTAAAGTTAGCTTTACGTGTACTTCTAATCCCTAGTGTGAAGAGGTCTAGTGATTTTTGAGCATGCATGCACTTGTGAGAAAGTGAGGAAATGTTCGTAATAGAAGGAAAGAAAAGCGATAATATTAATACTTTTTTCTTTGCATAAAATAATGAGACCCGTGAAATAACAATACGATTATTTTGCCAAAACCGTTTCAATATAAAAATCTTCAATAAATGTACATATTAAAAAAAAATAAAAGTATTGTTATTTAACTTCTGGCGTTACTTACTGGTATTCAGCAATTAGAATATTTTTCTTTTCTTTTTTTTTCTTATTTCAATACTTATTCTCTTTTTTCAGTTTTATTGTGACAAACACAGAAACTGGGTCATTACTATAGAGCCAGAATGGTGACTCCCAACATACTTTTTTTTATTAAGTTGCACATAAAACTGAAAATTGTCTTATCCTTCAAGTTAGAACATTTTAACGGTATTGTGCTAACAAAACTCATGCTATGATACACCGTTTTTGTCGTGCTGCAGTAACAGACAAATATATCCATAAACAGAAATCGGGTCATTGTAATACTGACTTAACAAGTTAAAAGGGAATTAAGTGTGTGTGTGTGTGTGTGTGTGTGTGTGTGTGTGTGTGTGTGTGTCGGTAGTGGGTAGGTAATGCAATGGTTAACAGCTCGGAACGAGAAATCGTGGTCTCAAATTCGTTACACTTTCGCTGGTATACCCTTGGGAAGAATATGAAACTACCACTCCTCCCCACCAGCTATAGGTTAAATAGTAGGACAGTAGCTTATTCAGCCTTAGTCAGCAACGTCTCTAGGAAAAGGTTTGCTGATTTCATGGCACACTATGTGCCCGAATCCAGTTGTTCCGAAAAATGTTAAAGATTCTTGCTGTTCTATTGGAAACTCAGACATTAAAGACGGCGAGAGAGTCCATCAAATAATAATAATGATTAGTTAAAAGTTCCGGTTGATGTAGCTACAAGCGTTCGATTCATATACAGAGTAATACTTAACTGTACATATAATAAAGGCTTACGGTCATATCACAGTGAAACACCAGTTCTCGTAAGATCACCGAAGTTAAGCAACGTCAAAACTGGTCAGTACCTAAATGGGTGACTGCTTGGGAATACCAGTTGCTGTAAGCTTGGATGTGTGCATGGTGTAATGGATATAAAGTCGGAAGTGGAAATCGGAGAGCCGAGTTCCAATTCCAGTCGAGTTCGCTATATTCATTTACTAGCAAATAACCTTGGTAAACGTATGTATCCACCTCTTCTCCTTCCAGCTATGGATTAAATAGTAGAATTTGTATCAGTCAATTTTTATTATCTCTCCAAAATTCTTACAACCTAAAAATATTTTCAGGCTTTATATAACCTGCAAAAGGTTGATAAACCGTAAAAAACAAATTAATCAATTAATATGATAAAAGTGTGGCGACGCAATAAAAATCGTATTTAAATCACAGTTTCATACCTTACCGTTGCGCAATGGTTAATGGACTAGTTTCTCAGATCAGTTCGCTGATATTTCAAGTTCGAGCTCATTGGAAGCTATATTATCGCAGCTTTTTGCTACATTAAGCTAAGTGTACAAAGGCGCATTAGAAATAAGTGCATTTGTGTTATGCGGTGTGCGTGTGCGTGTGCGTGATACATAGCACTTTCACGTATTCTAATATAAAATTAGAATAACACGTGTGTTTACATTCATACTGTGTAAACGTGTCATTAACATCTTCCTAAAATAAATAAATAAATAAACACAACCTCATCTTAGCCATTAATTATTAATAATTACCGCTTTATTTCATCATGGCGTTTTGTCATAACAAAGAAGATTTCTCGCCAGAGAAACAAACTCACGCGTTTGCAACCCACATGGCATTAACTGATGGGACAGCAAGTACAAAGGGCGTGGCGACACGCCCTGCCTCAAACCTTCAATAATCAGTAACCAATGCAAGATTGGCTACGACCGCATTCAAAGCAAAACCCCAAATAAAAGTTGATTTCTATTCGATGTTCTTTACATACACACAGAGCAAAAAAAAAAAAAAAAAAAAAAAATGCCTACTCTTTTTACTTCTGTTTTGGTAAAGCTATTTCGATTGCAATTCAAAAGATGCTCCCGTAAACGGATAACTTTTGGTTATTACCTGTATAGAGCGAGTCAAAATCAACACAAAGATTCTGAGAAATGCTCACTATTCAAAATAAAGCAACACTATTTATACATAATTTGAAATTTGCCATATTTATGCGAGAAGATATCGCTCTAGATATCGGGTGCCACGCATTTGTAAACAATGTGGACATAAAATCAACCCTACATGATGACTTGCACTTTGTTTTTCTTATATATATATATATATATATATATATATATATATATATATATATGAACACACAGACACACACACAGACACACAGAAGACACACACACACACACACACACACACACACACATATATATATATATATATATTTATATGAGAGAGAGAAGAACATTGAGGTTACATGACAATAAGGAAGATGGTGTTTGTGTCATTTTTTATAAGTGCCATATTTATGCTTACTTCATTGGAAATTTTAATTAAAATTGCCTGCTAGTAAACCGACCACAAGTAGTGAAGTAAAACTCACAATATCTCAGCCCCCATGTCGCGGAAAACTGATTGATGTATGTTTGAGTGTGAGTGTGTGTGTGTGTGCATGTGTGTGTGTGTGTGTGTGTGTGCGTGTATGAATGAGTGAGAAAGAGATAGTTATTTAAAAGGTAGTATATATATATATATATATATATATATATATATATATATATATATATCCTAGTGTAAGGTGGGTTAATTTCAATATCCAAACATTATATTTTTTAAAAGTGTTCAATACAGAGTAGAGCATAATAATATTCATTAACAGTTGTAACAAAAACATGATTGTTTATTCACCAGTTAATCGTCACTGCCTGAAGAAGCACCTATGAAAGTGCCGAAACATGATTGCATTTATGTAGAGGTTTTTAACATGCTTTTCTTATATTTGTTAATAAATATTATATAACATTTTCGCATCGATTGTCCGATATTTTTATTCTTATTGTTATCCGCAATGCTTTTTTTAAAAATTTTATTTTGAAATTGTGGTGTTCGTTACATCCATTTATGCGCATATACCATTAGGAGAGGTTATGAATCCACAAATTTTCCCCCAGCTATGGGTTGAATAGCAGGACAGAGTGGTTGACAACCTGTCTACCGCAGAAAGAAACAGCAACCTACTGCCTCGCCGGTCATCAATCGAAAGAGACATGATCGTCCAAGCGTTTATCACGTATGGCACTTAACTGACTGACGAGAGATCTTGCACTACTGTGGCAATATCTCATCTTCTATTTCTTTTTTTTTTATCAGGTGGGAGGAGGAAGTGGGTGTGTAGAGGAGGCGATATAAAATATATTTTACACTCACATACTTTACCTCTTTCATTCGCTTGGCAACTGTTTTGTTTCTTTCATAACAAAAGTAACAAATTACAAAAGAAATCAATAGATTAATTGAATGTTTTCGCTGATTTGGCTCAGAAAGCCAGCAAGGAAAATGAAATCCGATAAATTATATAAAGAAGGCAATCTAAAAGATATCCTTATAAAATAATATCATTGAATTTTTTTATTGGAATTGCTGCTTATTCCCAATAAAAAGAAAAGGTAATATCGTTATTTTTATTTAATTCGGTTGTAATGATTCATAATCGACGTTAATCAACAATTTTCAGGGATGATTCAAACAAAGACACAATCATAGATTTGTGGTTATCCATTTATGGTGTGGGATTTCTGGAAACGGAAGTCTTAAGCAGATAGCGTTCATTGTAAACTTTTGTAAAAATGTTCAGAAAAAGGAAAAGAAAAATTGAAATCTAACGAAATATTGAAAAAGAAGGAAAAGTGTAGAGTGCAAAAGAAAGATGCAAAGAGGAAAAACGAGGCGAAAAGAGAAAAAAAAAGAAGGAAAAAAGGAAAGGAAAGGAAAAAAGAGAAGAAGAAAAAGGAAGGAAAAATCATAACGGAAAAAAGCGGACATAAACAGAAAAGTAAAGTCAAAATAAATAAAAAGAGATACGAATGAAAGAAAGAAAAGAAACGAAAAAGAAAGCAGAAAACATGAAATGGGAAGAAAGAAGAGGTGTGCAAAGAAAAGTTTAAAGAAAAGAGAAAAAGAATACAGAGGAAAAAAGGAAAGAGAAAAGTTTGAAAAAAAGGGAAAAGAAAAAAAGAATGGAAAAAGAAAGAAAAAAGGAAAAAAGGAAAAAGAAAAAGTACAAAGAAAAAGGAAAGAGAAAACAGAAAGTAAAAAGTAGAAAGATAAGCAAAAAGAAAAAAAGTAAGATAAAAAATTAATCCAAAAGATCTACAACTGAGAAAAGTGAATGGTGACTGGATTAAAGAAGAAAGAAGGGAATAGGTAAACAAAAAATGGCTGTTGTTAATACAAGAAGTCTTAAAATGGAATTGATCCGATTGCATGCAAATAGAAGTTATCGCTTCACCGCTTTTATTTGATCAAATGATATCAACTGAGCCACTGAAATTGAATCATGTGTAACGTGTATCAAAGACATTAAAAACATTATTGGACACTTGGAAAGTTTGATCATTTCAATCACAGCTTCAAATAATTCATTCATATGATTTTCTTAGTCTGACTTTTGTTATAATATTTTGATTGTTGTGTCATTTACTGATAACATTGAGCAAACGAATCGTTTATATGTAAGCGCACTGACAATATAATGTTGAAATTAGATTATCTTCGAACATTCTATCACCTGAAAACAGGTGGAGATCAAAAAGAGCAATAAAGCACCAATAAAAATTGTACATGATACTCTCCACAAAATAATGAACTTAAATTATTTACGTTTAGTTATAAAGTTAATGATCATGCATACATTTTTACGAAACACATATTTATTTCATGTTCATAAATAATGCACGGGAAGATTGCGTTGTGCTTGAAAATCCGAGTCGTGCTACCGGTGAGGAAAACACACACACACACACACACACACACACACACACACACACACACACACATATATATATATATATATAATTTACTAGCAGTAGAGCCCGGCGTTGCCCGGAGATGTAACAGTAAGAGATAGATCAAGTATCGACCATCATAAAGACTGAAAAATAAAATTGACAAAGATTATTGTTTAAGGTTGACGGACACGCATGTCTTAATTAGGTATGTTTTTTTTTTTTTACGAATTGGTCAAACCCAAACTCAAACAAAAACATTGTTTTCAATCGTTATGAGTCTACCGATTGAATAGAATTTTATTATAAACAATTGTCTTGAAAATGGCATTTTTAAAGCATTCTGAATGTAAAAATAAAAAAAAGTGTGCAAGACAATACCTGCCAAAAAAAAGTGAAGTTTTGATAAATCGGTTGAAAAATGTAGGAAATCCGATCCCATATATAAACGAACACACACACACACACACACACACACACACACACACACACACACACACACACACACACAACCTGGGTTTTATAATAAGTATAACTCGATATGAGTTGTCCACCTTTCATTCTCGCGATGCCTCTTAATCGTGTTTTCAAATTGATTTCGTGCAAAAACAATTGTGTTTTCCAATTTTGGGGCGCTGTCAGAACCACCGCAAGGTAATTTTACGTTGTCCTGTGAAGTTTTGTTGAAATCGGTTGAAAAATGTAGGAAATCCGATCCAATATATCAACACACACACACACACACACACACACACACACACACACACAACCTGGGTTTTATAATAAGTATGATTTTCTTCTATTAGTCTACTATATCTCTATGTATATATTTATTTAATACGTTACAGATATTTCTGATTTTTGTCTGCAAAAACTATTTTGTTGTATTACTATTATGTCCCAGTAAGCAGTCACAACGCTAAATGGCAGTGTCTTTTTGTGATCAAAATATTGGACTATACGAAAATGCTTACGAAGGCCAAAAGTGAAATGACCGATTTCATGAAAAAGTACATAAATAGTAATTAGGAAAATATATTTAAAAGATTCGTATAGTATTAATACATAGAAAAATTAGTTTTCTAAAATATCTCAGTCATTTATAAAATATTTTCTCTGTGTTTACTATTATTACTTAGGAAAACTTTGTGTTTTTGATAGATCGATTCGATTAACACATTAGTTATCTCCCTTGAAAATAAGCACAATAATTTTTACAAACTAAAATCCTTGAATTTACCTTGTTAAAGTCCTTCAGAGGACGAAACGCATCGGCGTTTGCTTTCTTTTTTGGCTAATGTTCACCCAATACAAGGCCCAAGGGTCTCTCAAGGTAAAGTCTTACTGCGTGCAGTTCTATTAGCGTAAGAAAGAGTAAGATACCAGGAAAGATAGACAGCTAATTGTAGATTTAATTACCGAATAAAATTTCAGACTTTAAGAGTATAGAGCTGAAGTAGACATTAGAAGGGATTGGAAACCCAATACTAAACAGGCAACAAGGGTTAAACCTCTACTCCTGTTCAAAAGGGGAGGCGTATGAACCGGACGGTAGACAAACCGATCTACTCCTATTTTTTAAGGTAAGTTTCCCTTTTGTCTTTATTCGTATACTTACAACGTAAATATCAATAGTAAAGGCAATTTGAAGGAACATCTTCATACTTTATAATATTAGGTTGGTGCAAAATAATGACGTAATAATGTCGTTTTTTGACGTTAAAAAATACGTCAAAAAACGACATTATTACGTCATTATTTTTGCACCAACCTAATAATAGAATTGGCAACGATACTGTCAGATAGCATTTTTCAAAAAGCGGGAAGAAAGGACAACCTGACTAATGTAAGAATACAGAATGTATGGTTGTCAGGAGGAGGAGGAGGAGGAGGAGCTCAGGATGCGAGCTACGAATTGGAAATGTCAAGATCAAACAAGTACAGAAATTTAGATAACTGGGAAATGTTTTAAAAGACGACGGAATATGTGATAAAAGCTCGGTGTAAATGAATGCCAGTTCCATCATCGGACAATCAGTTTAATAAACCACATAACAAAAGTTATCATCCGGATTCTGATTAATAGAACGCGTAACAGAATTAAACCGCAAGTAGGGTGAAGACTTCGTTAAAGACACCAAAAACAAAGAAATAAAATCTTTATGATCAGAATGATATTAGAGAGAGCAATACAAATGCAAAATGATGCATGCCTATGTTTCATGGACTATGCAAAAGCATTTGAATAGTTACGACACAAAGATCTGTTTTAATTTCTAGAAAAACTTGATTTATTTGAGAACGATATTAGAATAACCAGAATATTTACTAGAGGTAAGCCGTCTACATACAGATAGAAAATGAATTAAGCAAGTAAACAAAAAATAGAAAGGGGCGTAAGACAAGGATGCATCTTTCTCACTGGATTTATTCAATCTATATAATTAGACCATCCTAAGAGAACTAGAAGTCCTACCAGGATTTATTATTGGTAGGAAAAATCTTAAGAACATATGATCCGCTGAAAACAACAAGAATATCTAGAAAAGTTAGTAAAGGACAGCGAGAAGAAAGGTCTAAGCATAAATTGTAAAAAAAAAAAAAAAGCATATATGGTCGTAAGCAAAAGGGACAGCACAGGATGCGAACTACTAATTAGAGATGTCAAAATGAAGCTAATACAAACATTAAAATATCTGTGAAGTGTGAAACCGAAATCTGAAGAAGCATTTAATAGCAAGAGATATCTTCCAAAAACTATGTAGAGTATTAAGAAAAAGGAATTTTTTTTTATTAGAAACAAAGAACAAAACGCTGAATTGATACGTAATATCAGTTCTCCTATATTGCAGTGGATGCTGGGCTGGATAATTTCCTCACAGATGAAAAAGAGACTTGCAGCAACAGAGATGCGATACGACAGAAGGATGCTGAGAATAACATGGACGGTGCATGTGAGTAACGAAGAAGTAGGAAACGAGAACCACAATGGACGCCTAGAATCAAAAAGAGTTTATTTCTGATACATATGAAAAGGATGAAAGGGCTTGGAAAATTTAACACTCACAGGACATATTGAAGACAAGAGAGACAGGGAAGCCGTGAATAACCTACCTAACTTGTGGAGAGACATGATCGCTTACATCCTGAAATGACGTGACGCATAGAAGAAGAAAAAGAAGATATAAAAATTGCTGATGGCATATTAATCATTTGGTTGCATAACCGGAAGAAGATACGGTTGCCTGTGACAGTTCAGACAAGAGAAACTCGGCGGCACTCATTTCCTCTCAAAGTATGGAGCTGCGTATAACATTGTACTATTTGCATGGGAGAATTGAATTCGTGTGTGTTTATTATATTGGGTTGTCCAAAAAATTCGTTCGGTAAATTTTCTATTTAATAAAGCAAACAAACATTCTGGCCAACACAATATATATGGTGATTTTCTAAACGTAGTTTAGATGTGGCACAAGGCCGACAGTATTCAGTCGTAATTGATCTAGCGAAACAAGCTTACTAACCATTGTACCACGTTGAACTACCCTGCCTATTCAATATATATGTGTAGATTAGTAAATCAGTAGCTTCATACATACTTGGGTGTGAAAATTTCCCTAATAATGTTTGATCTATATATGGTTAATATTCTCCATTAAATTCACTTCGGTGAGGAAAGACACGATTGTGTTGTAAAAAATGCATTTTTTTTAGGCTAAACAAATAAACACATGTACAAATGAATGCACATTAATTAAATTATATACGAAGCGGAGTTGACAAATACACAGTCTAACACATTTCTCAAAATCTAGACAAATGACCAAACATTAGAATTTTATTTACACTATTTACATTGCTGTCCTCATCTTTATTGTCACATTCACAACATGAAGGTGACAATAAAGATGAGGACAGCCGTTGTAGATTCAGGCTTTTTTCAGGTGATATTGTTTGAATTTCGAATCGAACCAAGAATAGTCAATCTGTATGTTGGCGTTTCTGAAGATTGGTCTAGTCGTGTTTGTGTATCCATTCTTCCCATGTTTATTTCCTGAAATGGGCTGACATATAACCTTCACATTCGTGAGTCGCTCAGTAAAGTCACGGAGAATCTGTTCTATTCCCCCACCCCCCGGTTTTAAATATCGTGACAAGGACTGGCAAAGGTGAAGTTCTTTTCCCCACAATTTGTTTTTGCTCTGCCGTTCATTGATGAGAATTGCAATTCAAACAGATATCACCTGAAAAAGGCCGGAGCGTACAACGACCGAAACGTTGTGAACGTGACAATAAAGATAAGTACAAAAGTCCGAACAATGTAAATAGTGTAAATAATTACAATACCTCATCTCACAAATATTGACAGATTAGAATTTTATTTTAAAGGGCTTCTTGGTGGGGCTGAGAACTTTTCAGAACTCCCTCGTAGATATTTAATTTATTAAGCTTAACTTATTGTGGCTCAATTTCACAGTTGCAAGAGAGAATTTGAATGACTCTTTTTATGTATATTTAATTTTGGAGATGGATGTTGGACAATCTAGCCACAGATAAAGAGACTTGAAGCGACTGATATATGGTTCTACTGATGGACGCTGGGATTACCATGGACTGATTATGTGAGCAAAGGAAGTTTTAAGAAAAATAGGAAATAAAAGGATATTTCTTGTTGCCTAGCGCTCATTATGTACAACGCTGTAAGCATTTGACCATAGATCACATGGTGACCAAAATTGTTGCAGCGAATATGTTAAATGTTTCTAAATAGCAAAGGAAAGCGAAAAGGACTAAACATCAATTCCAAGAAAAATGAAGGCATGGTTGTTAGCAAAAGAAACAGACCAACATGCAAATTACAAATTGGAGATACCAAAATCAAAAACTACAACAATTTAAATATCTGGTGTCTTAACAGAGGATAGAAAGTGTAACACCGAAATCCGAAGGCGCATTGGACGAATGAAAGTTACCTTTTAAAAGCTAAGCAAAGTATTAAGAGACACGAAAATTTTGTTAAAAACAAAGAAAAGAGTACTGAACTATTACGAAATATCAGTCCTCCTGTATAGCTATGAATGCTTAACAATTTCCTCACAGATAAAGACGAGTCTTGAGACAGCAGAAATGTCGTTCTATAGAAGGATGCTGAGAATACAATAGACCGAACATGTGATTAACGACAAAGTTTTATAGGAAATGGAAACAAAAAGGACACTTATACTTAACATCAGGAAGAGACTGTTGAACCTTTTCGGGTCACATAATGAAGAAAGAAGTCTTGGAAAATTTGATACTCACAGGACAGATTAGAGGCAAGTGGAACGGATGTAAACAAAGCATAACCTACCTAGGGAGTATGAGTGAATGCTTGGCGAAACAAGGTTTAGGAGCAATAAAAAACACTAAATATATTATGAGCGACAAATGACAGGAAATTGTGGAGAGCTATGATCGTTAAAGTTTTAAGGAAAGTGGAAATAATAAAAAAAAAGGAAATAAAACCAATGTTTTTAATTTTAAATAAACGGGCTGGAATGATTAATTAATTTATTTACTTGAGAAAAAATTCGCTCAGTATATTTTGACCAAGCCTTTTGATAAATATTTTGGAGATTTCTGCCCAATCCTTAATTTAGCCTGTAAGCATCCGAAGACGAAACGTTTGATCAATGAAAACGATAGAAAAATTATGTTAAAAAAAATCTATGCACACCGGCTATTTGAAACCCATCTGTATGCACATATCCACAATTTAGCGAGGGGTGAATATCTATTGATTTGCGTGTAGTGAGATTCACACTACATAGACGCAATTTATTTTATGCATCGCTAAATATTTTTTATACTAACAAGCAATACGTTTTATCTGTTTGGTTCTTAATTGCAAATATATACATTTATTTTTAAAAGAAGATTTTAAAAAAATCGTATTTGCCCGTCGATAAGACGCAATTTTTTAAAAAAATCGGTATCACTTCAAGGAAGGCGGTTAAACCACTAAAATGCAAGGGGTTACATGGTGTGGAAGAATTAGGAACAGAAACATTAATCGTGGTCAGAAGAAAGAGAAGGTAGTAATAAGGTCGGACAGTAGATATCGATTGATATTGCATTCAAATTTTTGTAGATTGAAGTTGACTGGAAAACATGGAGCCGGAATGGAGTTCTAAATAATTACAAAAAAACATTGTTTTTAATGCGTTAAGACTATTCTATTTAGGTCCAAAGCCTTGGATCTGCCCGATCCCCAGAGGTTATGGAGTCAGTTAGACTTTCCGACCGAGTAACATACCTCATAATATTAAGCGTGAAGGAGTTCAGAAAAGGAGTGTGTGTGTGAGAGAGAGAAAGAGGGAGAGAGAGAGAGAGGGGGAGAGAGAGAGAGGGAGAGAGAGAGGGAGAGAGAGAGGGAGCGAGATTAAGTGTGAATGAGGAAAGATATGCCGCTAAAAAAAACAAAAAAAAAGACAACCTAACGAAAACACTTAAATTGCTAAAATTTAACACATTTTAGAACGACTAAATTTTAAAAATAATTAATTAAATCATTTTAAGTTTAATGTTATATTACAACGCTTTTTAAATGTTGTCATATGGTAAGGGTTGTCTTTTTTAAGCATAGAAACGAAGTAAAATTCGTTTGGAAGCTAACGTTCTCCATGTAATAGTAACAGTCGGTTACTGACTTCCTGAGTACACCCGTTGCTAGGATGACTAACCAATCCCTGTTGCAGACGCCTGCTCGTGTTACAGCTTCTAGGAGAGAGAGCGAGAGCATAATCTGGCATGAACAAAGCCAGTAGGCTCAAACCCACTGTCATGATGACTTTTTAGTTCCTGTTGGAATAATAGTCAACAGTTTCTGAACAGTCCCGTATACCCAATTTAATTCAGAAGGTTCGGGTCAACCGTAGTATGTTGTGTCTGACCACACTGCCGTACCTCCCATCAAGAAGAAGTCACCACCCAGACAAATCAGCCCGGGTCTCGGGCTCGGAAATTGAACTTCCGAACCACTCGGCCACGGTTTTATATGATCCTATTTTTTTTAATCATTTTACCCCAAGAAAGGAGATAATACCACTAAGATGCAAGGGGTTAATTGGGGTGAAAGAGAATGAGATTTTAGAAGGAATCGGAAATTCAATTCTAAACAGGAAACAAAGGGTAAACCACTACTCCTACTAAAAAAATGGAGGAGTGTGAACTGGACGATAGACGAAACTATCTACTCCTATTAGACAAACCTATCTGAATTCAATAGATTCATTTGACCTTGATGAACGTTATATCTGCAAAACTTGAAGTTAATAACGAACTTTTCCCTATATATATGGCGGAAGGTGATAAAAATATAATTTTAAGATGTAGTATATTTATGGATAAGGGAAGCAAAATTGAGTAATGGATAGCGGCTCGGACTGAAGGATTCCAGTCGATGCCATTACATTCACTTACGTTACTTGGGAAAGGGTAAATAGCAGGGAGACTAGGTTCTATAGACTTTGGTGGCAACCGGTCTAAGAGAATTCTGAATTCAAAACTGTCCTGGAGAGCGCTGGGATACGTCAGGCTATCTTGCCAAAGAAACACCACTTCTACTGCTGCTGCTGCAGTACATGTGGTGACCCTACCAACCTGATGGGTCACGGCATTGGCGATCAATTGCAACCGCGATATTTATGGATAAAAGTGCTCAATATCGGGGATAGAGCGTATGTAAATTTAAAGGTAGACACTGAAGTGAACACCGTGCGGCGACATTGTATTTCTTGCTTGAACCCATCTTATGTATCTTATATATATCTATATATCTATATCTATATCTATATCTATATATATATATATATATATATATATATAAAAAAAAAGAAAGAAAGTGTGTGTTTGTGTGTGTGAGAGAGAGAGAAAGAGAGAGAGAGAGAGAAAGAGAGAGAGAGAGAGAGAGAGAGAGAGAGAGAGAGAGAGAGATCCGGGCTTGCTGGTTGTAACGTAAGTCAGAGTGGCAGATGGTGATACATTGAAATTTTTATGGGGTGAAATTAATATAAAAAGTTTTTAGACCAAAAGTAAGATAAAATAGAGGAGACAGTAAAAAAATATTTGAGTATGCCTTTTCATTATTTTTTCGTATATGAAATTAAATCATGTTTGTGTAATATTTAAATGAAAAAGAAATGGAAGAGCAATGAACATTGGCAGGGATAAGGGAGGAAAAAGTGAAGATACGGGCTAATAGTGAGAGAAGAGTAGAGACATTAGATTAGGGCTAATCGGAGTTTTGAATATGAACCCAGATAACTATGGATGAAAAGCAGAAATGTTAAGCTGAATAGATCGGGTGTCGGGATAATTTCGGTAAATAACAAGCCAAAAAAATGTCCTCGTACACATGTCTTATCTGATGCCAAAGACGGTATTTTAGTTATATGTAGATAAAATTTAGCAAATGTGTTACGCGTTGATATTTAATTTTAGTGGTAAATGATTAAAGTTGGAACTTGCCTAGTCAGAACCTGACCCCTCATTAAATATTAACATAGATCAAGTAATGATATATAGGTTGGTCGAGTATAAGCTTATTATGGGTCAGATGTTTTCTTCTTTGAATAATTGTAGTTATTTCCCATCACATCTAGTGTGACTTTACGGTTTAATAGATTTCCTGAGTGCTTGATCATTAAGGCTGAACAAGTCTTTTTTTTCTGTTGTTGTTGGTCAGATTATATCTCGTTGTTTGCATATATGATTAGAATCGTTATGATTTATTCTTACACCCACAACTTTTGGTTCCGCTTCCAAAACAAAGAAAATATGAACTTCCCGCATTTTAGCAATCATTTTTTTTAAAGTTACCAACGAACACAAAATAACTTGGTCAGTCGTTTGGGTTCTCGCTTTTGGGAGATTATTGATATGCTCTCTGACACATGTTTCCAGATCGTTGTCTAAACGATTTTAAAACGTTTCAGGTTGTAAAGAAGAAGCAAAGCAGAAACTGAAGAGAGGTCGTTTCCACAGGCAATATTTTCCCTAGTAGGTCAGAGTTAATCCCTGATGTCAGAAGCATTTCAGTCGGGAAATGCCGAAATTTTTATCCCCAATTCCTACATTAAACTCGGCCATGCGCTATTTTCCGTGGAAGTGGGTATCTGGATAAATGCCCCTATGATTTGTCACTAAATCTCAGAGGTGTTAAAATACGATTTAGTGTAACGTGCTTGAATGATGAAACTATTTTGAACTTACCTTACGATTTCTTAATACATTAATGCATCTAAACTTGTGACTTCAGTCTCGAGTAAGACGTTTAAAATTTCAGATAAAAAAAAGTAATTTTTAAAGAAAAAAAAATACGGATTATTCAGTATTTACTGTTATATAACATGCACTTAATTTATCGGAAAACTAGCGTTTAGACTAGTGTTTATGTGTTAGTCTGGTAACCCCAATCCGTACACAAATCAAACCAAGTACGCTTAATAGGGGTGCTAAATACGGTAATTTGAAGAACGCTTAATAGGGATGGTAAATACGACAATTTCCTTTCATGAAAAACAAAATAATTCAGCACATGAAGAGGTTAAAAAATGAAACTCCAATTCATTAAATTAATAGAATAACTAAATAAATTTGTTACATTAAGCTTATTAAAACAAATAATGATTTGACTCGAGTGTGTCAGTAATTGGGTTTTTATAATTATATTGTTCGTAAAAGTTATATTAGTCGGCATTTTCACACAGAAGTTTGATCGAAGCCTGATAAATAAAAATGGCAGGGTATTAAAAAACAAAAAAAATTGAACCAAAGATGTTTTTAAAATGTTATAAACCAAATAATCGTATCAATACTTACGCACATAGTCCTGATGAAAATGAAACACGTGTGGCGGTATAAAGTAATGTGGGTGCCTTGTCGGAAAGACCGGTCGTGGAGCAAGAATATTGTCAATAGTGAATGTAGCGGCGGGTGGAGCGCTGGCCCCAGGGACGGAGATGGTGTGTGTTGTGGATCCTGCCGAGGCAGCGGCCGCGGCGGCTGCCGCTGCAGCTGCTGCAGCAGCAGCCTGTCTGTATTGATAAGTGTCCGTTGGGTGGTGGGTGTTGCCTCCACCGCTTGATCCACTGACCGCTGTTGAACCTCCAGGTCCGCAACAAAACGGCATATACTGCATCATTATAATGCCACGCTTTTTGTGGGCGTTATTCTTCAGATTGCTGATAGATTTCGCGTGTTTGTTGCAGTAGGTTGCAGAAAAATCCTTTCGGCTTTTGATGTCGTTTTGGGCTTCGCCACAGCGCGCAGCCGATAGATACGACGACTGATCGACCCTAATGGCGAGCGATTTGAAAAGTTCCGTCATATAAACTATATGATATTATAATCTATATACACTGCTAATCAATAGGTTGATGACAATGTCGCACCTAATGGATGTTCTTTTCGTTATTTATACATATGAATGTATTTAGGATTAATGGCACGCATACAAACACAAGTGAAGAAATAAATACGTATGCTAAAAATCGTTTTGAGAGTGATTTTTTCCCGCCTTTCTTTTCCTATAAAGTCAGCTGATGAACACTTCCGGATAAGCAATGGTAAAAAGATTTGGTTTGATATGGTGTATAAAATGGAAGTCGGTTATTTCAACTGTTCGTGAGGAATTTGAGATGGGTGCATTTTGGAGTTCACTTGAAGTTTTTTTTTCTTTTTCTTTCGAGGAATTCTTCAGCTGTAATGTAAACAGATAGTGTAAATTTAGTAAATGAATAAATAAAAAGGCAAACATTAATAAAAATACTATCTTTGTCTCCAAATAGTTGTTACCTTGAGTATATGAAATATATTTGCAAGGGTAGCATTTATTATGAGACACGGTTGATAACAATAAATACATAAAAAAAAACAGTATCTAAAATAAATTCTGTCTGGAGCAATTGCTAACACTGAACATGATTTTTTGGTGCTACTTATGTGATCTATGTGTATGATTCTTCTTAAATATGTGATCTATATCAAAGAAAATTATCTACATGCATAACTTTACTTAAATAACACTTATCCTGTACAAACATAACAATCTCATCTAGATTTCATTTGCTGGAAAATTATGCGATCCAATGCCCAAACTTTATTTATTGCATTTCTGAATGAGGTTCTAGTAACAGTATTAGTTAAGTAAGATCATAATTTCCTTTATTTTTTTATCATATGGTATTATCTATTTAGTATATTATTATAGCACATTACATATGCTAAGAAAGTTGGTTCACTGTCGTGCGAGATAATTTTTCTCTCCAGAATCTATCTTACAAATCTATAAGTTTACCATCCATACATAGAATATTGCTGCTACATATTGTCCAGTTCCCCTGCTATTTACCTTGAGCTCTTTGATAAAATCCAAAGAAGAATCAGCAAGATTATTGGTCCTGATCTGGCGGTTCGGCTTCCGACACTTACCCAACACCGTAAGGTTGCATCTCTGTGTCTTTTCTATAAATAATTTCATGGTAATTGTTCGGATGAGCTCTTCCCTATGATACATAGACTTTTTTAATTTAAGCGTAGTGCTAGAATGGTATTGAAATCTCATCCATTTACAGTTGAGCTGGCTAGATGTAACTGTAAGTTCTATGCTAACAGTTTCTTTTCTCGCACTTCTCGCTTGTGGAAAACCCTTCCGGCTCCATGCTTTCCAGCCAACTTTAATCTGCAAAAATTTAAATGCAAAGTCAATCGTTATTTACAGCCCTTCTGATTACTCATTCCTCTTCCCGCTCATTATTAAAATTTCTGTTCTTAATTCTTCTACACTTTGTCACCTCTTGTGTCTTAGTGGCTTTACTGCCTTGCATGGGGTGATACTGATTAAAAAAAAGACTACTTTTTTCTTATCTTATTCCGTATATATCTATTTTAAATGTATATTTTAATGTAGAGAATTATATAGCTCAGATACAATGGTGATGCGTTGTTCTCCACTTCTGTTCTTGAAGTAAAACTTTATGCTTTCATAAGAAACACGTCCGAAGGAAGATATTTCAGAGTGGGGGGCTATCGAGGGGAAGAATGACTGAAGGAATATACCCGCCCCCACCCCACCGAGCGATAAAAATGGCCCATTCCAAGACTGAAAATATATATCCGTGACGCTGTTCGATTTCAGTGAGAAAAAAAAAAATAAAGTACACATAATAACAAGAACGAAAAAAAAAAAAAAAAAAAAAAGAAAGAAAAAATAATCGAAACTAGAAGAAGTGATAGCACTTTCATACGTTTGACATTTGCTTCAGTGAAATGTAAAACTATGCCAATTTTGAATCTTTTCGTTTGTACGCGCTTACTTCCTTAAATAATATGACCGTCCTGGATATGACGATAAACTACATCCGGTAGCAAGGCCACTGATTGGGAGGTTTTGAGGAGCGTGGAACCAATTCTTAAATGCTGTTCCAGCCTGACCCTATTAGGGTTCCAGCTATGAGCAAATAGTTAACCCCCAAACTGGGGTCAAAACAATATGAAAGTATAAAAAATTATAGTAAAACTACAGCAATACATTTTCATAGTAAAAACAATTAACAGCAGTATCTTTTTGCTAAACGAAAAATAGTAGCAATACATTTTTGTAAAAAAAATTAATAATACTCCAAGAAAATTAAATTTCAGTTATTAAATGATCCATAAGGAGTTCATATGCCCCCAAACAATCAAAATTATGATTGTTACTGAAATATTTTGTTAAAGTTATTAATCTCAAGTAATTAAGAATGCAATAGCAAAATTTCCACGAGTATTTTATAGTCGTAGAACTCGCTAGGAGCTTATTTCAGTCATTAGATTTAAGACTATGATTCATCAAAAAATTCAAATAGCAAAAATCTGAAATTTTCAAGGGTAGTGTTAGTTTTTACAAAATTAGTTTAATTAATCGATTTTTCTTAAATGCCATTTCCCTTCAGGATGTAGGCGATCATGACTTTCCACAGTTTCCTTTTATTATCTGTGAATTGTCTTACCTTATCTGTGAATTGTCATACCTTATCTGTGAATTGTCATACCTTATCTGGAGATATAGTGGAGTGGTTTTCCGTTGCTTTCTCTACTTTAAATTCAGTTTTCCTTCTTCTAGGCTGGTTGCTATCCAGGTCTACAGAATCTAGTTTACCCAACTATTTAATCCATAATCTCTTTTCCAAGTAGCGAAATCGAACGCAATTGATAAGGCCAGAATTTGAATTTGGCTTGTCAATCCCTCGTTGATAGCAGTTACACTACCTGTACATCCATAATTGCAATATCGAAATATGGAGATTTAAGAAGAAGAAAGAAGAATAGATAAGTAAATAAAGAACGAACGATAGAAAGAAAGAACGAACAAACGAAAGTAAGAAAGAAAAAACGAAAGCAAGAAAAAAGAACGAAAACTAGGTCGAAAGAAAGGAAGGAAGAAATAAAAGAAGAAAGAAGGTAAGAAAGAAAAAGAAAAAAAAAAAAACGAAAACAGGGCGAAAGAAAGGGAGGAAGAAATAATAGAAAGAAAAAAAGAAAGAAAGAAAGAAAGAAAGAAAGAAAAATAAGGAAGAAAGAAAGAAAGAAATAAAGAAAGAAATGTTTAATTGCTCCGTTCAAGGTTTGCCCCACAAAGATTTATCAATAATCTAAGTTTTTGGTCCACTTAACTAGACGCAGTTTTTTTTTTTTTTTTTTTTAAATCATTTTTCTTCCCAGTAAAAAAAGTGCTGTAGACGAGTCCAACAATTACAATTATAGCGGGGACCGCTATAATTGTACTTATTACTTGCAGTTTACATTGTTTACATGTAAAATATTCTCCTCATCTTTCGGCAGTTGTACCTTCGTAATCGAAACATGTTAATATATCGGTGTCTGCATCACTTCATTAAATACAGTAAGGCACTTTGATCTTTCCAATCAGGTTTTAAAGTCTTAAAAGTTCTTCGGTCAAATTGAAGACTTGAATCTTGAGAATTCTAATCGAAGCACTAATTCCCTTTGAGAGAGCTTCAAGGTATATACCTCCATCAATGGATTAAATAATTGGACTGGAAAGTCATTGTCATCCCTAAAAAAATATTCACGCAATATTCACTTGTAAAAAAAAAAAAAAAAAAAAATTCTTAAAATATAAAAATATGTTTCAGCTTTAAATAACACTCAAACGCCCAATAACACACACACACATATATGTATATGAATAAATATATATGTACATATACATATGTGTATATATATATATATATATGTACATATACATATTCATATATATATAAATATATATGTACATATACATATTCATATATATATATAAATATATATGTACATATACATATTCATATACATATACATATACATATTCATATATATATATATATATATATATATATATATATATATATATATTACGTTCAAAGTGCAACTTAAAGTTTCGTTGTTCTACTAACTCATCAGACACGAATTATAACGTAGGTATATGTATATTTATTAATATATACTTCTTAGGTTTGTCTAACCACATTGAGCACTGTTTTGTTTACACCTTACATTAAATTAGGTAAATATTTTTCGCTTACCTGTTTATGCATGCTAACGTACGTATATACGGTTGTGAATATTTAGTTATTTAGTTTATCGACATTAATACCTATATATATATATATATATATATATATATATATATATATATATATATATATATATATATATACATATATATACATACATATACACATATATATATATACACACATATATATATATATATATATATATATATATATATGTATATATATATGTGTGTGTGTACGTATATATATATATTGTCCATGTATTCATATATATACACACATATACATTTGATTCTAAACCCATTTGATCTCAAATAAATTAAAATCACTTATATCATTTTGTTTATTGGCAGTTAGTCATTGTCAATAATTAATTTATTGTATATATATATATATATATATATATATATATATATATAGAGAGAGAGAGAGAGAGAGAGAGAGGAGAAAGTTAGAGATGGTATATATATATATATATATATATATATATATATATATATATGGTGGCAATAAAGTCACTATACAATTACTTACAATAACAATTAAGACAAAGCACAAAGCAATTAATCAACAGTTCAGAAATTTATTATTAAAATGGTTCTGGTTAATTCTGGTTAATAGCAATAAAATGCCATGATAAACAACAATCAATTAATTACCGAAATGCAAACCACCTGCTTTAATGCCTTGCTTTTTATTATAGGTAACTGTATAGTCACTTTATTGCCACCCTATATATATATTGGACTGAATATATATATATATATAT